TAAAAAAAAAAATTTTCATCAGAAATTATTTTTTTAATTAAAATATTTTAGCTTTACTTTTCAGAAATTTTATTTATAATTCTAGAACTAGAAAGTTCAAAAAGTTTTCAGATCTCTACTATCACTTTATATTATTTAATAATCTTAAAATTGATTAAAAAGTATTCCCTAACGCATTTTTTAACCAAAGTAACATAATAAATTTGCTAAGAACTTTTAACATGATGACGTGTTATATTTACACTATTAATGGATTTAAATGTAAAAATAATACCTTAACCATTAATTCATTACAAATTGGACATTGAAATTCACTTTCTAGAACACTATAAACTTTTTCTTTGAACGTTTCTTCAATTTTTGATATTTGATCTAGAAAANGGTGTTTTCAATTTTTGATATTTGATCTAGAAAAAAATTCAAACAAAAAAATTAACTTCTCAAAAAAAAAAAGATAATAATTAAAGTATGTTGAAGCTATTAAATGACTTAACAAAGTTTAACTTAAAAATTTTATCTAGAAAATAGAATTACAAATGATAATAATTTGATAAATACTTCTTTTTATTGTAATTTAACATTAGCCTTAATACAATTGAAAGTTTAGGAAAAATAAGATAAATTAATTTTTTCAAAAATGTCTTAAATCCATAGGTGTTTTATTTTTTAATTAATATTTTTTCTTATCAAAATATTTAATAAAAGGAATAAGATTTATTTATTTTTAAAACGTGATGACGATGTTTCTAAAATATTTATAAAAATCAATTAAGATCACACATGACAATGTATTATAAATTATATTTTTCTTAGAGATTTGAATTATAAATGTTATAATATAAAAAACTGTAATGTTTTATAAACAAAAATGTATGTTTATATGTAACTGCTTTTGATAATTACTTAATAATCAATGACCATGAGGACATGATATTGTTACCAATGNATCAATGACCATGAGGACATGATATTGTTACCAATGTTTCTAATGTTAAATTTAATACAATAGTAATATATAAGCCCAAAATTAATTTAAACCCCATTACGTGAACTCTACCCAAAAAATAAATAAATGGAGTTCATAGGTTATTCACTTATATATTTTATACAGGTAAATAAGTCCAGATTAAGACACAGTAATATAAGCCCAAAATTAATTTAAACCCCATTACGTGAACTCCATCCAAAAAATAAATAAATGGAGTTCATAGGTTATTCACCTATATATTTTATTCAGGTAAATAAGTCCAGATTAAGACACAGTATATTTCATGTTATATACTAAGAATATCATGGGACTTTGCTTAAACAGGTGTAAAATTAAATAAAGTAAGTTAATAACAATATATATACTTATATAATCACCTTGTTGTATTTTTAAAGTATTTTCGTAATCTAAATTCTTTCTTGTTAATTCATAATTAGCGAGTTTATGCTGCGAAAAAAAATTTTTTTAATATGATTTAATACAAAAATATAGGTTAATAAAACATGATTTTAGAACTAATTTAAAAACTAATACAATCTATATATACATTTTTTTAATTATAGTAAATGTTAATAAAAAAAATTATTATTGTGTGAAAATAATACAATATGTATTAACCAGTGGTTAAGTTATTTTTACTTAAAATATATTTACTTTTAGAACTGTTTTTTTCAATTTTTTAACTTTTTTTGATGCTTGATTAATTATTTCATTAAATTTATCAAATTTAGCATTTATAAAACGCTTTATTGATGCTTTTTCACTTTTCAGCTAAAATAAATCAACTAATAATTAAAAAATTGGATTTAAATAAGTAATACGGTCACATTTTGTGCACAAATCTTGGTTCAGTCAATAACATTTAACAGCTTGGTCAGCATTCATGCTTATTACAGATAGATATACAGGGACCCGCTGACAATGTTAATATACACATTCTTACAGAAAACTGTTTGTGAAAATGTAGTGCAACAAGCAGTTGAGACCTACCATATGAATGTTATACAACTAATTAATATTATTTGAGCTTATTATTATTATTTAATTGTGATTTAAAAAATTATAATTCTCATGATGTTTATAGCACATTGTCATCTCCCTGATGGACATTCTCAACATATCTTGAATCCATAGATTATTATTTTATTTTATTATTATTTGAATCCATTATACTTTAATTAGTTTTTTCTAATGTGATATGTACTAATTAAAATGTTGGGTTACTGTTAACAGGCATATGAGATATGTACCCAAATAGGGTCGTATCATAAGTAAAAATTAAAAATAAATATATAATTTTTGTATTCATTTAAAGAAATGAATTGTAAAAAAAAATATCATCCACAGAATTAAAACTTACAATATCGTCAACATCAGATTGACTTTCACTAGATTCATTTTCTTCACTAGATACTTCATTATTTCGTCTGAAAAATAAATACAATTAATTAAAACATCTAACTTTATAAAAATTAAACACAAAAAGCAGAGTAATACGGAAAAACAATGAAACACAAACAGCACACAAGAAAAAGGCAAACCAGTTAAGGTCAACGTCGGAAACGATATTTGTAGACAAATTGTCGCATCATACACAGTAGTTATAAGTAATTAACAATTGTTGACTTACCGCCATGTTCCTTGTGTGTGTGGTCATTGATATTGCGTTCAATACTTACCGTATTAGACTGAAACCTTCAGTCTCGTTGGCAAGAGGGGCATTGGAGGCGCCGGAGTAGCTGGTGGACGGTTGGCCGCTTCTCTCAATATCGTCAACATCAGATTGACTTTCACTAGATTCATTTTCTTCACTAGATACTTCATTATTTCGTCTGAAAAATAAATACAATTAATTAAAACATCTAACTTTATAAAAATTAAACACAAAAAGCAGAGTAACACGGAAAAACAATGAAACACAAACAGCACACAAGAAAAAGGCAAACCAGTTAAGGTCAACGTCGGAAACGATATTTGTAGACAAATTGTCGCATCATACACAGTAGTTATAAGTAATTAACAATTGTTGACTTACCGCCATGTTCCTTGTGTGTGTGGTCATTGATATTGCGTTCAATACTTACCGTATTAGAATGAAACCTTCAGTCTCGTTGGCAAGAGGGGCATTGGAGGCGCCGGAGTAGCTGGTGGACGGTTGGCCGCTTCTCTCAATATCGTCAACATCAGATTGACTTTCACTAGATTCATTTTCTTCACTAGATACTTCATTATTTCGTCTGAAAAATAAATACAAATAATTAAAACATCTAACTTTATAAAAATTAAACACAAAAAGCAGAGTAATTTTAAAAGAATAGGGTATATATGAATGAAATATTTTAAGCATAATTCTGAATTTTGCAAAAAAGCATTTTATCATAAATGCAAGTTTTTTTAAGTATTTTTTGTGAGCAAAGTATATTTGACACAGCCCTCGTTATACACGATGTCCCGCGGACTCGTGCCACCTTTATCAGCCGTCGCCCTACTATGAATATTTGACTGACCAACACCGCGTGCCATACGCCACGGTGCAAAGTCCAGCAAATGCCGCACGGCCGACGACGACCCGCCGCAAATGGCGCGGGAGTCTTCCTCCCGTTGTGAAAGCGACAACGTCGACCAACCGATCCGCACCGTCGCCTACAACGCTGCTAACCTGTTGTCGCTCATTTAATAAACGGCCCACGGGTCTCTACCCTCAAAACCAGTGTCGACCAAATTTTTGCGACGTTAGTCGTGTCAACTGGCTCCCCGGTAAGGATCTCAACCGGCCTTATATTGGATTAAGGTAAGAAAAGCAGTTGCTGACTTAATTTTTATTTTTCAAATAAGACAGCTACGTTTCCTTTACATTCAGTTTTCTCCAAATTATTTGAATCACACAGTTCATTGGTGACAGCAGTGGATTTCTCACCCGGTTATATAGATACTATCTACCTCGCGAACAGTAGATTTCCACCTTCGGTGAACTTTTAAACACGGTAAAAGTGGATTTCTGGCGATTACGTATCTATACATACACTCGCACGGACGATTTTGAGTTGCACAACGCTGCGAACACAACCGTTTAAGAGGCTTACACACTAGGCTTTTAATCGCGCGCGTTCTCGTTTTTTAAAACGCGGCGATTAATCGCTTTGTATAAAACACCCGCATTTAAATTAAACCATGCACACTATGAGTAAAAAAACATGCGTTCGGACGCGACCGATCGCTAAAATTAAACAATACAAACCGCATGTTTCATTCACACGGGACGATAAAATGCCGCGATTTTCGGGCACGTGAGGGTTCATTCAATCGATTTTCACGTACTATTTTGGATTCATATCCTTTTGTGTCTTCTATCTCTCATGTCTTTTGACACAGAAAATTTTATTAATTCCATATATTTGGAAATGTCAATTTGGAATACGGGTAAGTATTAAATAAAGTACATGAACATATATATATATATATGTTAATAAAATTAATACGATCATGTATTAGCTTAATACATTATATAAGTATTGTATACTTTAAAATTGAATATTAAATAAGTATGGATACATCATCTAATGTATCCATACGTAGTTTAATTTATTTTATACTTTAAAAAATAATCAGAGCAAATGCTTCCACGAGGAATTTCGAATCTGTTATGATTATACTGTAGAGCTTTTGGCGGGCTAATTTTCTTTGTAAAAACGCGTCAAAACGTTTGCAGTATGCACATGAACGGCGCAGGCGCGCGATTAAACGCCTTGTGTGTTAGCTTCTTAAGTCGCTCTTCTGGTGGTATTGATAATCGTAAACAAGTATCCTCTTTTTAAAGTTTTGATCCAACTAATATAATCTTTAAATTTTAGATAATTCATATATTTTTTTTTAATTTAATATTATATGAGATTTTATTTAATTATTTCATCCATTACATTACTTAAAATACTTAACAAAATAATTCAAGGCGTCTGGGTACCGACCGCTTTTTAGTCAAAAACAACCCGTTTTTGTTCCATCAGTTCGACGGAACTACTGATGCGATAAGAACTCTGAAAACATATCTGAATTCAGCATCATGTCACTTGGGTATCGGTCAGGCCATATTTTTGAAATTTTGATGTTTTTAACCCTTTATTACAGTTTACATTTTCGAATAATTTTAAAATCTTCAAAATAAATTTTTACGTTGTAGGAATCACAATTTCAAAAAAGTGGCCTGACCGATACCTAAGCGACATGATACTAAATTCAAATTTGTTTTCAGAATTCTTATCGTATCAGTAGTTTCGTCGTACTGATGGAACAAAAACGGGTTGTTTTGTACGCTCAAACTAATGTTTTTCAAGCAGTAGCTGTTATATGTGACATGCTCGTGGGCATATGTGCGTTATCCGCAGCAGTTATTTTATTGCCCATTGAGTTGCATAGGACAATACCGACTGCCTAAAAATAGTTACAAATGCATACTTGATATTATACCTGTATATATGATATTAGATTATTTGCTTTTATCTTATTTGCAAAGCTATCATTACATAGTAAGAAACAAATTTTGTTGTTGTATTCCTATATAGGTGTCGCTAAAAAAATGGGGCCATAAAAAAATATCTTCCGGACAACCCTCCTCGCCGTCTAAAAAGACGCTGGTGCCGTTTTAGTTTTACTATGATGTGTTTTTTGCTTGTGTCTATCCATATCTGTACCTACTGGACTGTTATTGTTCAACGATACGCCAAAAGATCAAAAAATAAATATCTTGTTCATGTATTCAGCATCATAATTTCTCTTTAAATCTGACACAATAACGTGTTTTTCTTAGCCGCACACTATGTTATCAAACTAGATCTAACACTAAGTTACTGATGTTATGAGCTTTTTATTTCAACAAATTTGAAATGTATACATACATAAATTGCTTGATCATCAAATATATACATTTTTTACATTAATTATAAAATTAATTTTAAACTACATGCAATAAAAAAAGTAAATCATTTTTTTAAAAAAAGGTGGTCAGAATTGAGTGATGATGAGATATAACCTATATTTAATATAATACAAAGTGCTTAGAATTCATGAAGTATAAGTGACATTTCAAAAAAAAAAAAAAAATGATTTAGGTACACTATCAGACTGAAAATTAATAGTTCTTATTAGTAGAAAAAATGTGTAAATAAAAAACATATTATTGTAAAATCGAGATACCACTTCAGCTACACATGAAAATTAAAAAATAAATACAATATATACTATTTTGGTAGAATGTTTCCAATTCTCAAACTAACATTTTACTTGACATACTTCAAACAAGTAACGAGGAGAATTTAATAAATGAGTGAGTAATTTTTTCACGAAGAAAATTTTTTAAAGAAGGACAAAGTTAAAATATAATTTATTAGAAACAAACATTTT